CTTAGAGGTAGGCTAGGTCATTGGGTGTGTTTTGGATGTTTGTTGTCATTTAAGAGAAGTTGATTAAAAGTTGTTTCTGAACATGACAGTCAGGGAGAAAACTAAACAAATGAAGTTAGATTAAGAAATTTCTTTCTTCTTTTTCTTTCCTCCATCCCCCTTATTTAGACAAAAGAGGGGATGAGGAATGAAATGAAAAATGGGGGATAAGGGATGAAAAAGGGGAAGATATAGGAATGATAGAATAAAATGGTAAATTATTGAATCTACTTTTAAGCTAAAAAGTAACTACTAGCCTCAAATATTTTACATTAGAATGGCTTTTTGTATATTGATACAAATTTAGGTTATTTTAGATTGGTATATATATTTCTACTCTTGTTCAAGCTATTGTTCCTATGCAGTGCATTTAAAAATGTAAAGTTCTAGTTCTTGAAAGTTACTATTACAAACTATTTAGGATAATTAAGAAATGCAGGTTAGTAGTTAGTTACCCAGAACAATCAAACTTGTGGTCATGTTAGCTATGTTTTCAAGCTTAAACAGAATTATCTCAGATACATAGGTGGTCTTCAAACACTTCACAGATCTATAGAATATGGCATTTAAGATGTTTTAATAACATAAAGCTTTTCATGACAGTGAGACATATTTGCTCTTGGCTGCATCAATCTACTTCAAAGAAGATGATGGTCATTATAGAGTTTATTCTAAAGACACTGGGAAAGAAACTTCCCTTGACTCAACTGCTGATAGTATGTTGTCTAAATTGAACATGCAGGAAACAAAGGGCGTCAACTGCTGAACTTTACCAACACAAGATAGGCCAGTCCTTCAAAATTCCTGCTCCACAGGAAAGTCTGTCAGATATTCTAGGCCTGTAGGTAAAGATGATATTCCAACACTTCCGAGGAACCTTGGGTGACTGTAAAGGCAGCCATATATCTCTGTCATTTTATAGTTTTTGAAGTTGCTTGCTCTGCCCTTCCTGTTTACTCAGGTAGTGTTTTATCCTTCTCCAATCTCTGATGGGGTTGAAGACTAGATAGCTACAATTGTATAGTTTTTCTTGTTACCAAATTAAGAAAAGAAACTCACAAAGGAGATACAAAGTTTATAACAGTTGAGAGACATAAAGCTTAAATTGTTTATCTAAAAAATGTTTTAAAGTAGAAAAAGATATTTTTAGGTTGGTAATACAAGTTATAATAAATTGTGATTTAGGTACAAAACCTTGGATTCACAATAAAGAATAGATAATAGAATACACACACATACACATATATAAAACTATATATGTATATATAATGTATGTATCCAAACATATTTTTAAAATGGTAAAAGTATTTTCTTTCTCTATGGAAACATTTTAGGTTGGTAAGGGCATTTTTTTTTTCGAGACAGGGTTTCTCTGTGGCTTTGAAGCCTGTCCTGGAACTAGCTCTGTAGACCAGGCTGGTCTTGAACTCACAGAGATCCGCCCGCCTCTGCCTCCTGAGTGCTGGGATTAAAGGCATGCGCCACCATCGCCCGGCTGGTAAGGGCATTTTTTAAAAAAAATTGTTTTCCCACTCCACCATGCCATACAGCTGGCAGGGCAGGACTAAGCAGGAGCCATCAGGGGCCTCTAGCACCAGGCCTCCACACAGCAATTGCAATCACTCTGCCATGCGGCTGGCGTGAGCAGGACTCAGCCAGGAGCTGCCAGAGGACTCTATCCCTGGGCTGAGACAGGGCAGCAGCTCTGTGCCATGCCACACAGCTGGCAGGGGCAAGACTCAACTAGGAGAGTGTACAACATGGCCATATGGGAGAGAGCGCAGCAGAATGTGCAGTGGGGGGAAATGCGGATTTGAAGAGAGGAGGGAGTGAGGAATGGGCTGATGCAGAGGCCCTACTGCCAGGGTCAGATGTCTGGGTCTGCGCTGCTGCAAAGGGCCAGGACTTGGTCCGGGACCCTGATGAAGGCAGAGAGGATAGGGCTGAGTGGAGTAGGCTCCACCCCTCACTGAAGCATTCAGGAGAGCAGGTCCTCCACCTCACCTCAGCAGCACAATAGAGCTGACCCTGTTCACAGAGGCAGAGGTGAGCTGGCCCTGAGGCCATGAGAATGGGGGAGCATGTCGTGCCCCTCTTGTCTGTCATGTGGTGATGTAAGCAAGGGTAAGATGCCCTCCTCTCACCCCTCAACACCTGCAGGCAGTGGGGGACCTGACCCAACCCCTCACCAGGGGCAGCACTCGGGAGAATGGGCCCTCTGCCTCACCTGGGCACCATTGTAGAGTTGGCTGTGTAGACAGGGGCAAGGATGAGCCAGCCCTGAGGGTGTACGAGGGGCGTAGCTGGTACCACCTCCCTTGTCTTCTGTGTGTGGTGGTGGAGATGAGGGAAAGATGCCCTCCTCTCTTGCCTCTGCCACCTCCAGCTGGTGAGTGAACTGACCCCTTTGTCGGCTTTATCACTTGGGGAAGAAGGTCCTACACTTTGTCTGGGCAGCACGAGAGAGCCGGCCCTATTGGCAGAGGTGGGTGAGCCAGCTCTAACGCTGTGTAGGAGAGCTGTCCCCACTACTTGTCAGGTCTGGAAGGATTTGCACAAAGCCCTGCAAAATTTGCAAACTGAACACACAAGTTGTCCAAGAAGAAGGCTAGAAATCCCGGCCAGGCCAAAGTTCCTGGACACAGAAGTGGTCCAGTGTTCCAGAGTGACCTACGGTCCACCCTAACACCTAAATGCACACCCCAACTGAAGGCTACTGGTGAGGCATGCTATACGTGAAGTTACATGTAAAGTTACATACTGCACAGCATGCGCCAAAACGCTGCACTGTGCAAATGAGCCCAAGGTTTGCGATAAGGTGACATGAAAGATGCAGCCGGGCCATTGGGTATCTCCTCTCACAGCAGCAGAGCTTCAGCAAGGGTCACAGGTCACAGACATGAACATGCCTGAAGGCAGGAGTAAAAAAGCTGACGAGGCAGAGAAAGTCAGCACCAAGGCGGAAGAATGAGGCTCAGCTGTGTGAACAATCGCTACAAAGCCTACCTACACGCTTTTGATATAGTGTGTGCTGGAGGCACAGACAGACTGGCAGTGAGCAGGAGAACCAGAAAGGCAAACCATGGAAATACTGGGCACCAGAAAGCCGGCTGGTCATTTTAATGATGAACAAAGTCGATTTTAAGGGGAACAAGAAGACCAGAGATACAGTGAGATAATGCACAAGGCTAAAGAAATCCATTTTAAAGGAGCATTAGTTAACTAGTTCTAAATCTCTGTGCCTGGCAACAGCACAGATAAAAAGCTTCAGAAAAAGGAACCCAAGGCAGAACCATAGGTGACATGGTGTAGCATGTTCTTCTGTATTTGTGTTGCTTTCATTGGTTGGATAAAGAAACTGCCTTGGCCTATTAATTTGTATCACCATGAGGTCATGGCTTACTGGGAAAGATTATAACCACGTCAGTCTCAGGCAGGAGCTTCATGGCATCTGCCATACTTCCCTTCTTCCCAGCATCCTGTTCTGTCTACTCCACCTACCTCAGTGCTGTCCTATCCAAAGGCCAAGGCAGTTTCTTTATCCAACCAATGAAAGCCACACAAATACAGAAGGACCTCCTACACCAGTGACAGAAGCAAATCTGAATGTTAGAGATTTTAATCATTTCCTTCCAGCCACACATAGGGTAGGAAGAGAATATAAAAGATACATAATATTTAAATTACACCAAAAGAGATTGGTAAGAATTAATCACTGTACATTTTGAGGTTGTGATGATGGGCATGTGGTCTTCACAGGTGGGGCAGCTACGCCTGTGTGCCACTTGGAGAGGAGACCCTGGGTCTCCATGCTTCAGGAGATCCTGACACACCAATGTTGTGGAGTTGTCATTAGTGTTCATTGTGGGAGACCAAATGTGCCACCTCTACAGATGGCTTTTCATCCTGAGGACACTACCAGGGTCTGTCAGCGGAGGCAGAACAGCAAGCGGAGATGCTTCCCCATGATGCAATGGCCGCAGCAGCCTGAGAGATTCCTTTGAGAGACAAGCTGCATTGTTGGCTTCACTGCAGAAAGGAATCTGGCATGTGCCAGTTTGAAGTAGAGGCAAGTTTATTAAAGGTCTCAAAAAAGATTTATTAATTTTTATGTTTATGGGTGTTTTGACTGCATGGATGTCTGTGTATCACATGCATGCATGGTGCCTGTGGAGGCCAGAAGAGGCTGTTGGCTCCCATGGAACTAGAGTTACAGACAGTTGTGAGCCATCACGTGTGCTGGGAACTGCACCCAGGCCCTCTGTAAGAGCGGCCAGTACTCTTAACCACTTAGCCCACCTTCCGACTCCTAAAATGGATTTTCACCATAGATGTAAGTGTGGGGGTTAGTAGGAGAGGTGTCCAGGTGAAGAGAGCAAGACACACCCATGTGTGGTATGGGCTTCTTGAGAGTCCCCTTGCCTAGCCCTTGCAACAGTCGTACACAGGATTTGAGGTTATCTGTGGAGGGTTGCCGAGGAATGTAGAGGGCATGGCAGGTGGTTCTTGCGGTGTGCTCTGCAGGGCTTTAGCTGATACTCTTACACCTTACATCCTAAGAATTGCAAGGGAAGCTGAGCTTTCAAAACATCATCTGGGGAAGGAAGATGGCCATACTGAAGGCCACGTGTTCGTGGTTACTCAGGGCTCATCGCTATTTTAACATTCTTATTTGAAAATACCTCACACAGAAGGAAAACTGTCTCTATGTCTTCAACCTTCAAAGCAAACGTTAATTGTTCTGGAATTCTTCATTTTCAGTTGACAGAGGCTTTGACTGGACTCTGGAGTGAGGGCTCCTGTCTTTTCCTGGGTCCCCACAATTTCCCCCATCATATTAAGTGAGATCATATTAAATAAGGAAATCCGGGAACATCTGCCAAGGCAGCTCTCTTCCCCAGGCAGCAGCACCCCCTGTAATATATGACAGATCAGTAGGGAGACCGGCAGAAGAGCCACTCTGAAGGAAGACAGTCTTTTTATTGAAATATTTTACATGAACACACACACAAATACAATCCTCCAAAGGAACAAATGTAAAAACTGACAAGCCACCCAACCACCCTTTTAGGAACGAGGAAAACCAACGAGGAAGACCATACATGTGCAGATGAGAAGTGGGGCCCCAAGCCTACCCACAGAGAAAATTATAGACTGAGTTTTGGTTTCCTAAGCACATGGGCCATATTTGTAGCTTCACACAGTAGGACGATTCCCGCTGCAGCACGGCGAAAATAACAGCAATTACAACGAAAACAAAACGAAACAAAACAAACCCACACGAAGCTTGCTGTGCGGAAAGTAAACAGTTCTAGGTTGCAGACATAAGTTGGCCTCCACTCCCTAGCAGACCATTTGTAAAAACCCTTCACCAGTCAGTTAGCGGTATAAATGTTTTCACAATGGGGCACATGTAAACATTATTTCAAAAATATCTATAAAAGTTTAAGTGGAGAATTCCCATTTTTCTAGCAAAATATTGAGAAATTTGACTGTTTTCAACAGGTTTTTTTGTGGGAAGCATACATATAAATTGTTACTAATATACATATAGGTTTTGAAACATGTTTTTTATTTTTTGTTTTGAAACATTGTTTTCAGAAACAATTTTATTTATAAAATACTTTCTACAGACGAGCTGAACAAATCCAATGATTTCTTTAAAGAAACAAGGCAGGGAAGCTGAGTGAAACTGATCCAATAATTCAAGGCTTTTATGGTAAAATATTTACTTCATGTATATCAACTTCAGTTACGTTTAGACGTCAGAGTGGTAAAAAGCAGAATTTAGAATTGTGAAAACAGAGTTCTTTTGATGTTTGAATAGTTGTAAGCAAAGAGTGGTTTGTGGGACTCAGTTTGACCCCCAGACACTGGCTTGGTACCTATGTGAGGCCCTGAGGAAGAAGAAGCAGTGAATACAGGGCGGGATAGGGCCAGCCTCTTGACTACCTGGAATTGTGTAAGTGCAGTGCCTCTGGAGGCCATTAGGGGGCATCAGACCCCCGAGTTGGGATTAGCAGTGGCAGTGAGCCATAGGAGCTGGACGGCAGAAACTGAATCAGTGCTCTCTGCAAGAGTAGTAATGTACTCTTAACCACTGAGCCATCAACCCGGCCCCTAAGTGCATTAAATTGTAATATATAACAAATATATGCTGAGTGTTTAAAAAAGACTATTATCACATTACAGAAAAATTAAGTATGAATTTTATCCTAGATTATTATTGTTTTTTTTTCTTTGAGACAGAGTTTCTCTTTGTAGGTCTGAATGTCCTGGAATTCTTTATATAGACCAGGCTGACCTCAAACTCACAGATACCTCCTAAGTGCTGGGACTAAAAGGCACGTGTCACTACAGGTGGCTGTCCTGGAGTATTTAACTGAATGTGAAATGCTTAATATTTTATGACCTCTGAGAAACAAGGAGAACTATGCAGTCATTTTTTAAGCTCACAGGACATGTGTACATACATGCCATGTGTAGAGAAATACACAATATGTATTCTTAGCATGTCAGTGTTCTAAAGTTCCAACAATTTACACAATTAAAAGAGCATCAAGTTTTTTTCTGTTTCTGCCTTCTGGCCTCCCATGATACTCAGGGTTCCAGAGTTAAAGAGAACCTGCATCAGAAGTAGAGGCCCAGAGTGGAGATGCTCCTCTGGGTAGACGAGCTATTTGGTACCTGTAACCTATGAGGTTTTATAATATAAGGGGTGGGACTGTCCCTGCTGGGTATCAATGCACTGTGCAGAGACCCATCCTTCTAGACCGGATGAACTAGAAACCATGCTTTAATTTGGTAAGTTCCTGGGAGCTAATTTTTCTTCTCTGGTCTGTGAGTATTGCTTGCATAGCGTGCTAAAAGGCACTTAGGGCCCAACATCTTCCCTCCATCCCCTGAGTATCACAGAGTATTTCTGAAATGCAGCCTTTCCAGAGACACTGCGGCCCTTGGTACATCAGTGACTACTTCAGTGTGTAGGCCTTTGTACGGCTCATATAAGGTTAGGGGCATGGGAAAACACATCCAGCGAAGCCGGTTAAGCTCCAGTCAGACTGCAGCTGGTTTCTGTTTAGGAGTAAGAATGCTGCACGGTGCTGTGCTTGGTGACCCTGGTGGAAGATGTGGTTACGGTAGAATTGCGATGGCCAGATTCCTCTGAACTATGCAGAGGGCCCAGGCCTCCCACACTGGAAACCACAGTCTTCCTAGCCTTGAGAGAGGTTTCGCTAGGAATCTGGTAACCAGACTGCAGTGTGGAAGCAGGGGTCACTACTCTTTCTGTCACTGTGACGTTCTGTCCTGCTGCCACACTGGGCATTACCAGAGTGGGCTGCACGGCAGAGCTGGGGGCAAGGATGCTCTCCCTTTCACTCACCATGACATACTGCGCATCTTTCAGATGCTGGGTGACCTCGACGGGCTTAGGGACGCCGCCATTGGGCTGGATCAGTCGTTCAGTAACAACGACATTTTCGCCATTGGCATAATGCTGACCTACCAAGGTGGAGGCTGGAGCATACACCCTCTCTGTCACAATTAGGCTCTGCGGCTGTCTAGGACCCAGGATCACAGTGCTGGGCTGCCCTGTGGCGCCTGTGGCATAGGAAGTTTCTGTCACTATGATGTTACCAGAAGCCACGGGATCAGGAGCTGGTGGCATTACCTTTTGACTCTGCCTGGAAGACACAGAGCTTTCGGTGACAACTTCCTGCGTGACTTTCTCTGTGTGTGCTTCAGGCAGAGGTTTCGAGACTTGGAAGCCATGGTCAGAGGAGTATGTGCTCTCTGAGCTGACCATCATTTGCTCGTAGTGTGAGCCCGACGCTGGCTTCACGCTGGCTTCTTGGACAGGCTTCTGCCTGTGTTCAACGTCCACATCCAAATTGATCTTTCGGCCCAGGCAAACTTCGGCTAGTGTCTTGAATTTAAACCCCAGGTCGTCTAAGAAGAGGTCATCACGTTCTCCCTCGATAAAGCTGCAGCAGCCAATGGAGCCTCGGAGAGAGTCCGTCTCTTCCTGGGAGTAAACGAGGAGGCAGTCTTTGGCCATGTGGAGGTCGTCGTCCTCAGCATAGGAGGCCGCTTTCTAACACGGAAAAAAGAACGGGGCCGGATCATTACCGACACAAATTCATTTAAAAACAAGGCTTGATGCTCCTGTTTATAAGGCAAAAGCTAAGGAAAATTGAGTCTAAATACAAGGAAACATAAGAGCAACACAATGAGACATCCTACATCACAGCTGGCCTGTCTTCTCATAAACATCAATACTATGCAAGAAGAAAAAAACCGTTGGGAGCGCAATGCCAGACAGAAAGTGAATAGTGTCTCGGTAACCCAATTAGACATCACACAGGAAAGCTAATTGCTTTAGAAGACAATTACCATTATCATGGAATTTACCACTGACTAAACTGAGATGTAAATTGTATCAATTTCAGTTTCTTAGTTTGTTAGCTGTACTGTGGTAGCAGAGAACATGTGTGTGTTTGTAGGTGTGCATATGTGTTTGGGAGAGTGTGAGACAGAATAGAAAAAACAGGTAGAAAATAACAGCAAACGGAATTGGCCAAAGCCCATGTAAGCAATGAATAGGTTTGAAAATTTCTGCTATCTTTCAGATATAATGCTATGTATCCTAGGCTGGCCTCAAACTCAGTATGCAGCTGTGTCTTCCTGCCTCTGCCTCCAGCACGCTGCAGTTAGAGAGGTGTGTCTCCACACCCAGCCGTTGATTCCTCTGACCATCTTATGAAAGCTTTGAAGTTCTGGCTCCCTTTCCTCTTTTGGGGGAGAGACTGGACTTTGAACCTAGAGCTTTAAGCGCTTCCATTGAGCTAAACTTCTAACCCCTGCAATGCTACCAGACCTATTCAAGCACTGTGACACCCAGCGCTCAACCGTGGCTGTTAGATTCAGTCGGTTAACAGTGCTGCTATGTTTCTTGCATCCTTGCCAACTTCCTCTCTACTCTGACAGAATAGGCTCCATCCTGCATCTATAGTTGTGGGTTTGTCTGTTTCTCCAGGAGTTTTGGCTTGATTTGAAAAAAATCAAGGCTTTCAATTCCTGTTGTAAGGCAAAGACATACTTAGGAGTGGTCGGCTTCTGCATGAATTGACTAGTTTCCGTTTTGAAACAGATCTGGTCCCAGTAATGCATATATTCTGGATGAATTCTGTCTACATGTAACACTTGTTTCCAGTCCTGTTTCCAGTCGCTAGTCTCAGGCCACGATCTCTGACCACCATCTTTCATGGAACTTTCTCCATGGTTTCGTTGTGAATTCCCATCAGAATGACATGTTTTATTGTATAAACAGCAAACATGTGGAACTGAAGAGATGGCTCAGTGCTTAAGAGCACTTGCTGATCTTCCAGAGGACCCAGGTTTGATTCCCACCACCCACACGACAGCTTGCAGCCGTACGTTCCTCCGGTTCCCGAGATCTGATGCCTTTTTCAATGCCTGCGTGTGGTGCATAGACAGACATGTAGGCAAAGCATCCGTACACACAAAATCAATCAATAAATTAAAACAAATAAAAAAACCAAAGAAACAAAACTGTAAGTAGATCTACTAGCCTGCCTGTTTTAGGCTATGTTCTCTGTCCTCCTTCCTGTGTTTATTCCCCTATGCCTGCTTCCTCAGGGAGGTTGTATTTTTTTTTTTTTTTTGACCCAGGGTCACTTATTATAGTCACATGACTTCCTTTGACCAAAGAAATGCAAGTGTAGAAAGGGAGAGAGTCCGAAAGAGCCTGTGATGATTTTTTTTTTTTTTTGGTTTTCCGAGACAGGGTTTCTCTGTGGCTTTGGAGCCTGTCCTGGAACTAGCTCTTGTAGACCAGGCTGATCTTGAACTCACAGAGATCCGCCTGCCTCTGCCTCCCGAGTGCTGGGATTAAAGGCGTGCGCCACCATTGTCCGGCTGAGCCTGTGATGATTAATCTTCATTATTGACTTGACTGAATGGAGAATCACCTTGCCGGCACGCCTCTATGTGTCTCTGAGGCAGTTTGTAAAGAGGATTGAATGAGGGTGGAAGGCTCACCCACACTAAATGTGGGTGGTGCCATCCATGGGCTGGGTTCCCAAACCAAAGAAAGGAAAGAAGACCGTGAGCTGAGCACCAACCTGCACCTCTCTCTGCCTCTTGACGGCAGACCTAATTTGACTAGTTACCTCATGAGTCTCCTGGTGATGGTCTGCAGCTAACTTCTCCAGCCATGAGCCCAGCGGAACGCTCCCTCAAGCCCTGTCTGTCAGGTGTTTTATCTTAATGAGACAAGCAGCCACCAGAGCCCACGTTTGGTTCTGCCACTGTGGTTTGCCCTGCGCCACAGGATGGCAGCTTCCGGGGCTCAATCTGCTTTCTGAGTGTGCATCTTAGAATGATAATGACATGGAACAGAGCAGGAGGAAGTTGACAGCAGAAACAAGAAGAAAAGGCCTTTGTAAGAACTAAGCGGACTGTGCAGCCATTTGTGAACGCATAACTTGGTGAACACTGTCTGTCTCAATGGACCCCAGCTCTCGTTCCCACTGCCTGTAAACACAACCAAACAGAGCCCCCACACTTTCCCACTAATTATACCTCTCTCAAAAGCCCATTTAGTAACCTAGAATTTCACATTTTTAGGTAAATGCTCCCCTCTCCCTCCAGGGCTTACCTCTGTGAAGTAGCTTCTTAAGAATTCCTCATTCATCGCCACAGCAGCTCCCCGAGCCCCACCCATGCCTCCGGAAGCCCCGGTGGCTCTTGTTATCCTTAGTGTTTCATTGGCTGCTATGACTCCTGCCGTCCCCACTTGATGAGTGGCCCCGGCAGTAAGGAGGCTTCTGTGTTCTTCCCATCTCCCGTCCATATCGGACATCTCATGCTGTGCTTTGGTAAAGGAAGCTGAGCTACTGCCTTTCACCAGGCTTTCCTTGATCATCGCGCCGCCTGCACCTCCTAGTCCGTTTCTCACTGCTGAATTCTCGGCGTGATCCGCCGCCAGAAGCGAAGGCACCACCTAGGGGGAAACATGGCTCAGAAATGAATTCGAAGGACAGAGGGTCGGTGTACTTGGCGGAAGATGTGAGCTAAGTGAATGGAAGGCGGGAGAAACTATTTTCTCCTCAGCAAATTAGGAAAACGGGGTGGGACACATCTGTTGGGGTCTTGCGAAGGATTTCTTCTTCCTGCTTAAGAGCTGACTATAACCCGTGGAGGACCCAAAGCCCAGATTTCCTCCTGTGGTCTTGATTTACTCTCTTTCCCAGAATCCACCTCCCCCTTGAGGTTGTCTGTGACAGTTACAAAACTCTGAGGCTTCAGCTGGACACATGGCCATTCAAAATAAAGATTCTATTTCCAGTCTTCCATTGCTACCAGACAGGAGTCTCTCGCCTTCTGATTAAAGAGAATGAAGAAGAAGAAGCAGTATATGCAACTTGTAAAAACTGCCTTCAGGGCAGTTCTTCATGATGTCTCAGCTGCTACTCCAGCGTGAGGACAGGAACTAGTGTCTGGGATGGAACCCATCTGTGGGGCATCTGGAAGGAGGTGGGAGGGGAGCATGTTGAAGTAGCTCCATGGTGCTTGATTCAGGACTGCCCGCATTTACTCATTTATGTTTGACACAAAATTTCACTGTATAGTCCAGACTGGTCTTGAACTTGTAACCCTCTGCCACTGCTCTCCCAGGTACCGGGATTATAGGACTGTGTTGCAGCTTGAATATGAAATGAGCCGCATAGACTCATGTGTTTGACCACTTGGTCCTCAGCTTGTGGGATGCTCTGAAACATGGTGGAACTGTTAGGAGATGAAGCGTCAATAAAGGCAGTGTATCCCTGGGTGTGGACCACTTCCTGTGTGCTCTCTGCTTCCTAACTGCGGATGCAATGTCACCAGCCTCTTCACATTCAAGCTACTAAGCCTTCCTTGCTATGCTGAACTGTATCTCTCAAACTGTGAGCCAAATAAGCCTCTACTTCCTTAATTTGCTTTGTGAGGTATTGTTGCTACAGTAACAAGGAAAGTAATTGTGGTTTGAAAGAAAATGGTCCCCAAGGGGAGTGGCGCTATTAGAAGGTGTGGCTTTGTTTGAGTGGGTGTGGCCTTGTTGGAGGAAATGTATCACTGTGGAGGTGGGCTTTGAGGTCTCATATAAACTCAAGCCACACCCAGTGTCTCAAATTACTTCCTGTTACCTATGGGTAGGAATCTCAGCTTCTTTTCCAGCACCATGTCTGCCTGCTTTCACCGTATCTCACCATGATGATAATGGACTAAACCTTTGAACAGTAAGCCAGCCCATTAAATGCTTTCCTTTGTAAGAGTTGCCATGGTCACGGTGTCTCTGCACCGCATTAGAAACCCTAACTAAGACAGTAATCAACATGGAGAACCATCATGTTCTTCCTTGCCAATATTCAGCTTCCTGACACTTGCTGTTGAAACATATATCCTGCAGGAAATGGTACTTGTGGCAGATGAAGAGAGACCCCGGGTGAAGACACATTGGAAGAACAGGGGATCTGACCATCAGCAATAGGAAAAGGGATTTGGGCCACTTCAAAAGCGCCTTGGGGGTTGGGGTCTACCTCTGTCAGCGGACTATGCTGAGAACGGAAGGGGTGCTAAGAGGACCACTTAGCAGTGGGGCAGAAGTTCCAAGTCTAAATTCCCACAGGCTCCTGCTCTCCCTGCCTCTTGTTCTACATAGCTTGGATCACCTGCTGACTCTTGGTCTGCATTCTTGTTAGCACAGGATATACCACAGTACAGTCAAAGTCCCTCAAGTCTGCTCTAGCACACGAGAATACACTATTGCGGGAACTTGCTGTTTAACCAAGGCATGTGCGTGAGATCCAATGACCACTGCTGGACAAGCATGTGCATGCAATTTAACGGCCATTGTTCTGCCCTCTCTGTCACACCACAACACCAGCACAGGCTCCCTGACGTTGAAAGGTAGAGGGCTTTTCCTCTCCAGCAAGCATGGTCATCTGCTGGGTCCCTCTAATCAGTTCCACTGTGAACAGTCAGATCCCAAAGATGGAGGGCCCAGTCTTCCAGACACTGTCACTTCCTAGATGCTAAGGACTTTAAGAGTTGGATGCCAAGCCGGCGGTGGTGGCGCACACCTTTAATCCCAGCACTCGGGAGGCAGAGGCAGGCGGATTGCTGTGAGTTCGAGGCCAGCCTGGTCTACAAGAGCTAGTTCCAGGACAGGAACCAAAAGCTAAGGAGAAACCCTGTCGAAAATCCAAAAAAAAAAAAAAAAAAAAAAGAGTTGGATGCCAGCTCTTAACGTATAGGTTTTGCAATTCAATAACTATGTCAATCTCTCATGACCAAAAATATTGCAAATACCCTCTAAGTAAGACCCCTTTAAAATCATAAAATAAGGCTGGGCATGGTGGTTCACAGCTGTAATCCCCATACTCGGGAGTACAAGGCAGGAGGACTGTTTTGAGTTCAAGGCTAGTCTGGGCTACAGAGTGAGATTGTTCAAACGCCCCACATCCTCCCGATGAAATCAGACCAGAGAGTGCCACTGTTTGATGAACTGACCTTGTCCTCAGGAGGTGCCCCTTCATTATTCCAAGGGTGCAGCATCTCTATGGTCCCGGGAATGGGGGCGAAGCCTTTGGCGCCCTCTCCACAGTGGCATAACAGCAGCAAGAGCGGTACAACTGTACAAAGCAAAGCAGAGTCCAGAGTCCATTTTCCAACGAAGGCCACACCATTTAGCATTCACACTAAGCTTCTTGGAGCCCAGGCTTCACTTATTTGACACTTCATCTTTATGTTTTGTGTTTCTTCACTGTGGTCCAACCTTCCCAACTTTGCTTTGGTTGAATTACACCAAAGCCTGAAGGCAGACAGAGCCCTCTGACTCAAAGGTCTTATTCATTACAGAGAGCCTGTCTCTGGCTAGTGAGCAGAATACTGTGACTGGATGAGATCAGATGTAAATCAGAGGACCAAGGTAAAGACGGAATGTCTTAAGGCTACTGTAGAAATCTTTTTTTGTCAGGTTGCTATCTAAGAGATGTAACAGAGCGATCGAAAGCAGCCAAGCACAGTGGCATGTGCCTGTGATCTCCCAGCGCTTAGCTGCTTGGGAGCCTGAAACGTTGTCTCTCTCTAAAGCTCCATCCAAAACACTCGCACACGCGTGTGCACATGCACACACAAAACCTGGGGGTGGTAAGAACAGATGAAAACATCAACATATTCTAGCACACCAAAGCTATTGCACTTTACCTCAGAGTGGGGCTGGGTACGAGACCTGACTCTGACGCTCCAGTTTGCCTTTCAATTACCTAATATTATTTCCTTTTCTTTGGTTTCTATTTTTATTTTCTGTCAAGTGATTATACAACCCAGACAGGCCTTAAACTCAATGTGTAACTGAGAAAGACTCTGAAGGTCTGACACCTCTGTTTCCTCTTCCTAAGTTTTGGGGTCACAAGTGTGCTGTATCACCATGCTCATTTCTATGAAATTTGGAAGTTGAGGCTAGGCATGTTAGGTAAGCGCTCTACCACTAAGCTACACAGCCAGCTCCTATAGTAATCAAGTGTCATGGGCTGAGTGACAGGTTAGGCTTCAGAGAAGCTGGGATGGGAAGCCAGGGCGTGGAATCCCTGGGTAAAATATGCACACCCAACTCCATGGTAAGTCAGAACAAGCCACTCACCAGCAAATAGAACCAATGGGCTAGAGCGCCACTGTAAATTGTTGGGTTCTGTGTATTTAACTAGCCATCTACAAGTGTCTTTAACGGGTTCCTCCTCTTTCCATGGAGACAGCCCAGGCTGTTTTAGAGGCTGTCTTAGACGTCGTGTGTGCTCTGCCAAAGTTCAAGTAGACTGGGACTGCAGGCGACCTCAGGCCTTTGGTGGACTGGAGGGCGAGCAGGACTGTCTGGGCTCAGCTTGTTATTGCAAAGACACACAGAGTACTTAGAAAAGAGTTGACAGTGTCTGAGGCTGGCCAGAGGCAAGCTGAAAAGGCAGGAATGGAGGCAGGGGAGCCTCAATGACTTGACTGTGCAAAGCATGGTTGGATTGGAATACAAGAGGTTTGTAAAAATAACCTTATATCCACATGGCATATGCACGTGGCAAGCTTTTCTGAAGACCTATTGACACTGCTTCTGGTACTGGGAATACAGCTGGGCCCCCCCCCCCCCCCCGCCCCCAGAGTTTATCAAGACGACGTCACTCTGGACGGAAGACTCTGAAGACTTACGCAGCAAGAGCAGCAGGGCCAGGATCATGAGAGCGATTGCGGCGGGCCCCAGGCCAACGTAGTTGTCATACTGGGCTGCTGCACAGCCACCACCCTTCAGACACTCACAGACGGTGAGCTGAAGGACCTGCGTCTCGGGGCAGCTGAAGCCCTGGCTGTCGGAAATGAGGACGGGGACCTCACTCCTCCCGAGCTTCCACTCGCTTTGCCGCAGCAGCACACTGGTCCCTGGGAGGGGGAGGCACAAGGCAATGAAAACGAGCGGCTGCCGAGGGAAGAGAGACCAACCCACGGGAAGGGCCTTACTGTAGCTCCGGGTGTGAGTGTTATCCCTCCCCAGCCTTCCCCATGGAGTTCATTCCCTGTGCTCATCAAACGTGTCCATAGATTCCAAAAGAAGTTTGACCAGCAGAGGAGTAGAGTTAGACTCAGCTTTCCTGAGGTTTATTTTTAACTAACACGTGTGTCCTAGCAAATGCTGGAACAGCCACAAGACTGTCCAGTCAGCGGGAATGCAGCGATGCATGACATGACATTTATATGAGTAAAATTTTCATTCAATGATGTTTATCTTACTGATTATTAAAAAATAAGCTGCCAAAGTAGTTTTCAAATGTAGCAGAACCTGCACGGTGTCACCCCCAGTTTGGATCATTTTCAGCCCAGGCCCATCTTATTTTTATCTCGTTCCACTCTTTTGAGACAATACCTTTTCTGTATATATCCACTGTTTGGTTTCTTTTCTTAAGAAATTTGATAATGGAATTTCACATTATTTTACAGCATTAGAATACAGTAAAAGACATAAAAAAGGTAAAGAAAGATGTTAACTGATATGAGATTCCCCTCAGTGTGCTGTGAATATATTTTATTACCATTGGTTAATAAAGAATCTGCTTTGGGCCTGTGACAACGCAGAATAGAGCAAGGTGGGAATTCCAAGCAGAGATAGAGGAGAAAAGAAGGCGGAATCAGGAAGATGCCTTGTGGCCACCAAAGGAGACAGAAGCAGGACGGAACCTTACTGGTAGGTCATAGCCACATGGCGATACACAGATGAATAGAAATGGGTTAATTTAAGATGTAAGAGTTAGGTAATAAGAAGCCTAAGCTAATAGACTGAGCAGTGTTTTAATTAATATAACTTCTGTGTGATTATTTTGGGTCTGGGCAGCCAGGAAATGAACAAGCAGCCTCTGCCTACAGTTAGCACCCAACTGTTGAGGCAGGATAATAGCAGAGTTTGAGACCAGCATAGGCTACAGAGTAAGACCCTGTTTCAAAAATTAAGCAAACAGAAATGACAACAACAACAACAACAACACACACACACAGAAAGAGAGAGAGTGTTGCATTTATTTATTTATGGTGGGTGTGGCTAGGCCTGTGTGTTCCAGTACCATGGTCAGCATGTGGAGGTTAAAGACGGGTCCTGGGTGTGAACTCAGTAGTTAAGAGCTTGGCATTAAACACCTTCTCCTATTGGGTTACCTTGCTGACATTATTTCTTTGAGACAGGGCCTAGCTATGTAGATTAGGCTGGTCTGGAACTTGATGTGAGGTCGAGGCTAATCTCAAAACAGTTGTCTTGCTTCTGCCTCCCAAGTGCGAGGGTTGTGAGAACCACTGTACCAGACTTGTGTGTGTATCCAAAAAAAAAAAAAAATCAAAAAGTAGTGGGAAACCCAACAAAACCTTCCTCTGAACTATTTTAAGTAAGTTATAATAACTGATAAGATGGTTGCTGATAATTGCTGTAAATTTTTCTGACATGAACAGCGCTTGCTAAACAGTTTTCTGGGTAGAATTTTCCGCATTTGAGACTGTCCCAAGGACACTCAAAAGATCACATCAGCAAGAGAAATAAGCCCAAGATACAGTGACTGTGTCCACAGGCGCCGGGTTAGCATGAGCATCAGACCCTTTGCCAGGTCATGTCCATCACAAACTAGCTTTGTGCCTTTTAACAAGTCCCTACACCTGAGTAAGGCCAGCGTTCTCCACCATCAGGAAATGATGCGACTGAGCAAGGATTAGCTGAGACGGTGTGTGCAGAGGGCCTGGCATGCAGTACATGCTCAATAAACACAATTTTAAACAGAATTATGAGATCACTTTGTAAATGTCTGATTGCTGTACACAGCTCCAGTCTCCCCATTTTATGAGACAAAAGTGCTTGAGCTGAAATACTGTTGTAGGCTCAGAGCCTCATTTCATAAGCCCCTTGAGAACTACATTGGGGATTACAGTGGAAGTACAATTTGAGAGAAGAAACATGGCCTACATTACTATTGTGACTACTATTTTTGGTACAGGGTCTCACTGTGTAGCTTTGGCTGGGTTGAACTCCTGATGGAGACTAAGCTGGCCTTGAACTCACAGACATCTATTGTTCTACCTCCCAAGTGCTGTGACTAAAGGTGTCACCACGCCTGGTCAGAAAGCACGGGAATTAAACTAGAAGTAAAATCTGAGAGAAGAAACAGCCTATGTTATAAACATCTTCGATATCTACCATGCTTACTGTTCAGATTTTGATGAGGTCAATCATCTACGCACCTTCCTGGTGCACTATTTTCCACTGCTCTGCTGTTGCAGACGGCTGGTCGAGGATGGAGAACGTGAACGGCCCGCTGTGCTGGGGTCCATCCAGATCCTTGGCAGTGACATTCACGTAAGGGGCATCCTCGCAGATACTCTGTACTGGCTCCACCAGCGTGGGGCAATTGTCATTGCTGTCTTCAACGGTGATAACAACGGTGCCAGTGATGGTTTTTTGAGGATGATCTTGAAAATAAACAGGAGAGCGTTCACACTTCTGAGTCTATGGCTGACCACCGGCCAGTCAGGTAAGGAGGGGGTGCTAACCGCTGAGGGCACCCTCCCATCCCAGCTGGGTCTCAGATTCGAATCAGTTCTAAGTCACTATGTAAGCAAGAATATGAAGGCATAACCGCTGAAGAGGTGAGCCTTTTATACACAAAACACATGCTTCCTGTGCTGAAAGATAAATCTGAACGCATTTAGTCACACAAAACATCTGTTTAACAACTTACCACTGGATATGGCCACAACCTTTACAGTGTAGGTGCCATTCTGGACATATCTAGATTCAAAATCGGGAATCTTTACAAGCTTAATTTCCGAAGTGGCAGAATCCACGGAGACCCAGTTGTCTATGTCTTCCACTTTCGCATATCTGTTCCAAAACAAACACCAAGTTCATCCTTAATTCTGGGCACACTGGGACTAACATCTCTGCCTCCCTCAACCTAACTACACCCCATTGTGCAGGTACTTGTTACACACACTGGATCTGAATGTCACATGGTTTATGGTATACAGTATACTGGGATGTTGTCAATATATAAAAATAACTTAAAAAACAGTGGTTGCCTCAACTGGAAGCACCTAAACATTTTGAGATGCTGTATGTTGTTAGGAATGATGACTTTCAAGCGAACCGGCTAAAAGTGAAGACGACACATTTCTGGGTTTCCTCTCTGAAGTGAGGAAAATCAGTGTGAAAAGTCAGCTACAAGAAGGCACAGGAAATATGCTCATATTATGTTTTCAGAATTGTATACAGAGTACTATTGAGTTTAACATATAAACTACAAACACAAGGCAAACACACGAGTCTCTTGGTTCAATCAAATCAATAATTCATTTTCTAGTAAGTCGCTATTTAAGGACATGACAAGGGATGTCTGATCTATAGTAATATTTGTGTATACTATTTGGAAATAACCCACTTGTATGCTTGAACTGCCTTTTATGCCTGCTGTTGTTACTAGTAACTGATTATAGAGGAAGGTATGATTCAGAACTTGGGAGGTTAAGGCAGAAGGATCAGGAGTTGAAGGTTATTCTTGTCTTACATAGTGAGTTCAAGGCCAGCCTGGGCTAATGACACTCTGTCTTAATAAACAAAAAACAGCTAAAACTGTAAAAATAAAACTGTGAAAATAAAATGTAAAAAGCAAATGGCAGCACATTTGGGTTTTCCCAGGTACTTCTGAATGTCCGTCAGGAATTTTAAAGCAGGCATTGATTTGCCTGCCCCTGGTTTTCCATTTCCATAGCATTTCACACTGCGGTCGTCTCATCGGCACGGCACAGGTCGTCAATCAGCACGGCACAGGGCATGTGTTACGTGATGCCATTTAAGGAGCTTTGCAACTGATCCACGGTGGAACTCAGCATTTGGGCAGGACAAACAGCTCACATGTTATATCAATATCCATAAATTACTGGATGGGTAATCAGTTCAATACCACACTACGACAAAATTAAAGACATGATTCTTTTGCTGTCCTTAGTATATCTTTAAAAGGATTTTTATTATTTTAATATTGAATCATGTGTAAGTTTATTATTTTAATATTGAATTATGTGTAAGTTTATTATTTTAATATTGAATTATGTGTAAGTTTATTATTTTAATATTGAATTACGTGTAAGTGCTTATCTGCGTGTGGATGTGTGCATGTGCAAGCAGATGCCCTCAGAGGCCGGAAGAGGGGGTCAGAGCCTCCGGAGCTGGTACGGGTGACTGAGCCACCTGAGGATCTAGGAACCAAACTGGTTCCTCTGCAAAAGCTGCAGGTGCTCTAAGTGCCGAGCCATTTCCAGACCTTCCCGTCTTTATGAAGACTTCAAAAGCAGGAATTACTAATGAGTTAAATGGCTTAACTTAGCTGTGCCTCCCAGAACTTATGAAAACTCACAGGTGTGAGTGGATGCTTAGGTCACTCCTGTTCTAAAGTGCACGCTAAACAAGGAAGGAAGACTCTTTTGGGAAAGAAGCATATTTTATTTTCTTCAAAGAATGCACACCCTTTTCATAATAGTCACAGGCCCTGATAAAAATAGCAAAATTTAAAAAAATTGCCAGGAGGCCAGTCTCAATAGTATTAGAACATACAAGCTTCTCAGCAAATGCAGAGAAAAATCACACAGAGTCCTCTAGTCTGAGGACTTGGTTACAGGTGGCCCTGTGGGGCACATAGAGTAGCAGAAGCTAAAAGTATACCCCTGTGGAAGGGCGAATAAAAGATGCTTACAAAGACGTTAGTGGAAGGCACTTGTTAGTACCAATTTGGGGAAGAGTCACCCACTCTATGGCCCATAGATTCCATTAATGGAGACTCAGGAAATACAATCAGACAGTTGGGGAGCCTTCTTGCCACAGCTGGTCCTGTTTTTAGATGTTTTATGAAGCGCCAGCACCCAGGGACACAGGCCTAAGGAAGGTGAGCACCAGAGCATCTTTGTTATAGAGCAGAAGGTCCCCAAGCCTGTGTGTCTGAGCTGCAGGAGGAAGTCTTCAAACTCAACTACGTAACTTCATAAAGAGCAGCTTTGTATAGAGAGATGCACTCTGATAATCCTAAAAGATGTTAGTGTAAGCTATAGAGACAGGGCACAATGAACTCCTTAGCACGGTGACAGACCCCGCCCCCCACATCCAAGTTCCCTGTGGTCAAGAGTGCTTAGCCATCTTGGAGAGGACCATGCTTCCATTCCCAGTACCCACCAAGTGGCTCACAAGTTCCTGTAACTTTAGGTCCCGGGAGCCCGGCTTCCTCTTCTGATGTCTGTGGGCTCATGCAGACATGTGGTACAGATATTCATTCATGTGCACACACAGAAAAGCTCACCTCTCCTTGAAATAAATAAAGTGGCTTAAATAAAGATTAATTCTTGGAATTTAATTGTACATAAAATGACTACTCCCATACTGATATGTGTGAAATTACAACCCCCATCCCCGAAAGCTCAGGACTGAACCCAGGGCCTTGCATTTGCCAAGTAAGCAATCGACTTCTGAGCTAAATCCCCAAGCCCAGGAACGTGTGAAACTATTAAAACAACGTGTGTGAAGTGGAATTTGTGACAAGATTCTCTCTTCATTCACCTATTTGAGACAGGGTGTCACTGTACAGCTCAGGTTGGCCAGGATCTCAGAACACCCCTGCCTCAGCCTTCACAGTCCTGGTTATAATAGTGCGCTGGCATCGTTCACATGTGATCTGCTACTTCCTCACCCCCTAGTGTGCTGGAAATAGAGAATTTTACAGTTATTTTCTGAGATGTTTTCACCCTTCTCTAGTAGGCGTCTTGGAGGTGACCAGCCCAGCCCTGCTTCACACAGAGGCTGACGGAAAGAAGGAAACTCCACCTTCCTTCAACGGCAGGCTCAGTTTGGGAAGAACTGATTATAGGGCCTTCGGCAAACTGTTATTCTGGGGTGTGAAGGAATGAGCTGCCATGATTTTCTAATGAGTTTTGAAAACTGACATTTAAAAACCCTGGCATGTGAGGTAATTAAAACCTGGAAACACACTCATAGCCATATCTTACTTTACTTTGGCTGCTTGTCCAGTGTCTTCATCAAAAACTTGAAATTTTCCAATCGACCGGCTGAGGCTGGATCTATCCATCGCCTCACTGGCTCGGACGGAGACCACGTTGCTCTTGAAATGGATGCCTTCCACCACGTTCTTGACCTTGACCGTGATGGGGATGGGCGTGGGCTTGAACTTGTTCCTAACAGACTTGTGGAAAGCTGCTTTATTAGTGACAACGATGCTGAAGTTGAGATCCTTCATTGTCTCGTAGTCCACTTCCTAGAGAGACAAAGCCAACATTACTGCAGAGGAAGCGGAGCCCATGAGCACACGCAGAGAGACATGATTTAAACAACAAGGCGAAAGCTGGGGACACAGCTGCACGGGCAGTCCACTGTCACACCGACAGCCGCCAGCTGCAAATCCTGTTAGCTTGGAAATCCATAAACATGAAAGGTTTAAGAGGTTTCATTATGATTTTTTTTATTATTCTTTGAGAATTTTACTCAGTGAATTTTGATCAGCTTCACGTCCATCTCACAACCTTCCAGCTCTGCCTCCACTCTTCTTCTCACTGAACTCTGTGTTCTCTCTCTCTCTCTCTCTCTCTCTCTCTCTCTCTCTCTCTCTCTCCTTCTCTCTCTCTCAACCCATGGAAGTTCAGTTAGTGCTGTTCAGTTACTCTTGGGTGAGAGGACTGCCCTAGACTGTGTCAATATATCAGGTGCCACGCCATTAAAACTGACTCTTCCTCTTAGCAGCCTTCAAAAGCCAATAGCTCCCCAGCAAGGGCTGGGACTTGGTACCCAACTTTCCCCTCCATGCTGGGAGTTTGTCTGGCTTGAACATGTTTTATATGATGTCACAGTCTCTGTGAGTTCACATGTGACAAGAAACACTATTTTTGAAGTCATCTACTACCTCTGGCCCTTACAATTATTCGTACTTTTGGAACAAAAAATATAGCTCTTTCTTGGGCCTATAACTCACTCTGCAAGCCAAGCTGGCCTTGGATGTTTCTCCATCTTTCTGCTCCCCGCAGTAGGTGCTGCCTTAGGTGGCCTGATCCACCATGTCTAACAAAGCAAGTACTTTCGATTGATTTTTATAAAGGTCATAACTGTTTTCAGAAGCATATATTTCTACTTTTTTTTTTACAAGTAAAAGAAATTTTTTTTTGCAATAGGGAAATTCATGGGCATTTAATAAAAATTAATATTCAGTAACACGCGTTCCCTGCGCTTGTTTTGATGAATGGGTGTGGAGTACACGGTGGCTGTGCTGGACAGTTATCTCAACACAAGCTAGAGTCATCTGAGAGGATGGGGTCTCAATTACGAAAGCGCCTCAATAAGATCGGGCTGTAGGCAAGCCTGCAGGGCCTTTTTAAAATTGGTGATTAATGGGGGTGGGTCACCCCTGGGCTGCTGGGGTCTTAGGTTCTATAAGAAAGCAGGCTGAGCAAGCCATGATGAGCAAACCAGTAAGCAACACTCCTCCATGGCCTCTACACCAGCTCCTGCCTCCAGTCTCTCCAGCTTACTTTTGGTAGTGGGTTTCATCACAACTCTAAGACAATGGCACAGCAAGCTCTCTTCCTAAGGTAGGGTTTTTTCTTTTCTTTTCTTTTCCTTTTGTTTTCTGTTCTTTTCCTTTCCTTTCCCTCTCCCTCCCTCCTCTTTTTTTTTTGTGACAGGGTTTCTCTGTGCAGTTCTGGCTGTTGGGAACTTGCTCTGTAGACCAGGCTGGCCTCGAACTCAGAGATCTGCCTGCTTCTGCCTCCCAAGTCCTGGAATTAAAGGTGTGCACCACCACTGCTTGGATGTTAAGACAGAGTTACAGTGCACCTTAAGATGCTAAAGAATCTGATCTTTCCTGGTTTAAAGAGAAAGCCCAGGGAAATACATTTAAACAAGAGCCTGCTCCCTACCTTTGAAGTGCAATGAGCATCTTTCCTCTGGGCTGCTGAGTCCAAGGCAGATCAGCCTTCCTTCAGCAAGCTCTTGGTAAACTCTGCTATTTACAGCACCCACTATGTAGTTTGTGTGATCACCGTGCACATAGTGTATGCTCCAACTCTCCATTTTAGAAATAAGTATTGGTAAAAATAAATATTTAAAAATAATTAAACTCAGTTAATCTGTGACTAGCTTTTGAGCAATTTAAAATTTTTATATAAAATTGATGTTGTTTTGAGAATTTTTATACAATTTTTTTCCTGTGTTGACTTATATATAGCCTGTCATTAAAAAAAATCACCTACCTGAATTCACTTGGATTCTAGCCTTTCATCACTTTCATCTCTAGCAGTGTTCTGAGTAGGGTAGGTGTGGGCTTGTACTTCAGCGTATTCTGCAGCTTCCCTAATGACTGGATGATCTCGGGCTCCCTTCCCGGTGCATTTGCTGTTTGTTTACATCTGTCCTGGGATTTGCTACGTAGACCAGGCTGGTTTTGAATTCACAGAGATCTGCCTGCCTCTGCCTACTGATTGCTGGGATTAAAGGCGTGCGCCACCACCACCACCACACAGCTGCTCATCATCATCATCATCATCATCATCATCATCATCATCATCACTATTTTTAAGACAGGGTTTTGCTTTGTAGCCCAGGCTGTCCTGGAATTTGTAATGAGGTCTACGTTGGCCTTGAACTTTCAACAGTCTAGGGCAAAATACTGGGATTACAGGTACAAATCACCATATCAAATTTTAATTGATTTGGCACTAAGGATTAAACCGAGGACCTCATGCATGCTAGGTAAGCCGACCACCACTGAGCTGAATTACACATGCTCTCTAAGGCTACTTAATTCAGTTTTTCCTTCATTGACCCAGGAGACATAGGAAAGCAGATTACTGTGTTCCAAAGTGCAGCCCTTACAACACTTGCGGTAAAATCATGATAGACTTTTGTTCAAACGGCAAGTTACGGAGCCCTGGCCAACCAAGCTCATGCTAGATAGTGAGCTGCCTGGAAGTGTGCCATGCGAGGCCATGTGGCTGGGATCTGAGTTCCTGATCTGGTTCTGAACTATATATAGGGTGACTGACTTGGCCCTGTATGGATGTCTCTGATCCTGAGCAAGACTGGTGCCACTTAATGTCCTCGTAAAGCACCAGTGAGAGTAAGGGGTTCAAAATATGTCACAACTCACCTTGACAAGGGTCACAATCCCTTCATTAGTCTGCGTGTCAGTCTCAATGTGGAAATAACCCCCTTCATTTCCTGATGTAAACGTAAAATTTGCTAACCAGTTATCTGAGCCTATTTCATCTGCATCGGTCACTTTGATACGCATGACTTCCACATTGACTTGGTTTTCTTCCACAACCCCTTCATACTACAAAACATAAAGAAACACACAGCTTTTATTAATGCAATAAAGCAATTTTAGTTGGGACTCAAGAAATAGTAAATCTACTATAAAAATAAGTTACCAATTTATTTTCCACCACAGGTATATTGTCGTTGACATCCAAGATCTGAATCTGAACTTGAGCCTGCTGTACCGGTTTATCTGTTATCTGCCCATCGGCATCTCTTGCTTCCACTATCAAGGAATAGCTACTGTGTTCCTGCAGAACAATAAAAAATGAAGAAGACCCATCTGAGGAGGGAATTAGTACTTCTGAAAGCTGCCTTTCTGGTTTTGGTTCACCCTACCCTTAGGAAATGAATCACTGTCTAGTTCATTCACAAGTAATCTCCGTGGTCTGTTGTTGGTTTGGGAATACTATTTATATGTAGTCAGAGCTTTTACAGAAAGGTGGAAAACCTCGGGGAGTTTTTGATAATCCTACTGTGTCACTGGGAACAGTCTGAGGAGACTGGCTTCTTCAGACAAAGGTGGACTGTTCGAGATGTAGCTTGTTCTGCGCTGGAGGAGGCTGTGGGACTGAGGCGGTCGCTTTTGTTCTGCTCCTATACAATTTCATCCAAGTTAAATGCTAAGTCAGTTAGACTTGGCCAGGGGAGGTAAAACTTGGAAGGCTTGGTCCAGACTCCTGTAGAGAGAGGACTCCTAGGAAACATGTCCAACAGATGCCCTGATGGCAAATGTCACTCAAAAGTACTAAACAAACAAACAAAAAACTCCAAACCAAAGCCAAACAAAAAATAGTGTATTCTTTTCTAGAAGTGGAAGCAGGAGGAACAGAAGCTCCTGGCCATCCTCAGTTCGGTGAGAAAACACAAAAACCACACCACAGCACAAAGCAGAACAGTAGAGAAAGTGAACCCCTTTCCTATATGTGGTCTCTGGTCCACGGCTCCATTCATCGAGTCTGGGGCTTAAGGGACTTAATAGCCACTTCAGTGTGGGAGGGTCCTGTGTGGGACAGAGGAGAGTCTCATCTCTGCGGTTAGCTGCTTGCTTGTCTGGACACAGACTTAATCCTTTTGAGCCCCAGTTTCCTTATGCGTAAGATGGGAATAAGAGCTGGATTTGCCGCACACGGTTTCTTTGTGGATTAAACAAGATAAACCTGGAGGCTGCCCGAGGAGTGGCAGCTGTGACGGTCAGCTCCACGTCCACACCTCAGAAACAGTGGCTTCTCCGAGGAGCACCAGAGGAGACCTCCCCACTCGCGATTCAGGCGAAAGCGCATCAGCAGAAGTTAGGAGTCACTGAGACCTTACGTTTCAGAGAGATCTCAACAGGAATGCTGGCCAAGGTCCTTCCCGTTTGAGCAGTTGACTCCCAAACATGACAGTGCATCTGTTCAGATTTACATCTGGTAAAAGTGCTGTGTCCTTGGAACCGCTAACACTTGACTCTGCGATGCTGTTAAAATTTTTATGCATGGGCACTTAAAGGTTATTGATCTCCCCTTTGATTAAATATTAGACTTAGGGATTGGAGAGATGGCTCAGTGGTTGAGCCCTGGAAGCTTTCTCAGAGGACCCAGATCTGTTTCCAGCATCTACAGCGGCTCACAGCTGTCCTATAATTCCCATTTCAGGGGATCTGATGCCCTCTTCTGATCTCCACAGGCCCCAGGCACACATTGGAGCACAGATATACATCAGTGCAAGCAAGATACTCACATACATAAAATTAAAACTCCTTTTGAATTAGAAATGAAAAAGAACAAGGTTCGAGAGAATAATCTTTCTGGGGAACAACTCAAAATTTCCTTTGAGATTCAATGCAAGAATTTTCTCCATTATGAGCTTTTTGGTTTTTTTTTTTTTTTTTTTTTTTTTGTTTTTGTTTTTGTTTTTGAGAGCAAGTCTCACTATCCAGCCCTGGCTGGCTTGGAATTCTCTTATGGAAACTAGGCTGGCCTCAACTCACCGCTAGTCACCTCTTCCTCCTGAACGCTAGGACTAAAGGCCTGCGCTATCAGGCCAAGCACTGTCTGTGAAGCTGATTTCACTATGTCACCCAGGATAAGCCAGAGCTCCCTATGTAGAGCAGGCTAGCCTTGAACTTGAGCAAGGCAGAGCTATGTAGAGCAGGCTAGCCTTGAACTTGAGCAAGGCAGAGCTCCCTATGTAGCCTTGACTTGAGCTTTTTCTGTCTCTGCCTTCTGAGAGCTAGGAGTGCAGATGTGCTCATGGTCTGAGCCAGTGGTGAGATTTTATAGCCTTCGTGCTAAGTTTCCCCAATCTGTTGCTTATTTCACCCATTTCAGCATGAACACGACACACCTCAGTTTGGCCTGGTCACATTCCAGGAGCTCAACAGCCACACAAGGCTACCGACGACCATGCCGGGCAGCGCATTCCCACAACAGCCACACAAGGCTACCGACTACCATGCCGGGCAGCGCATTCCCACAACAGCCACACAAGGCTACCGACTACCATGCCGGGCAGCGCATTCCCACACGATGATTCCTTTCCACGCGTTATTCCACAGGTGAGGAATGCACGACAAGTGAAAATTAGAAAAATAAAAAGAGTGGAAAGACTAAAAAGGAGAGAGTGTAAAAAAAGAGGGTGGTATGTAACTTTAACTTACCTCTCTGTCCAAAGTAAAACTGGTTGTATAAATCTCGCCTGTGTCCTTTTTGAGGTAGAACACGGGAGTGTTGGCAGGCTCCTGAGAGACAATTCTGTAGGCGATTTCGGCATTGCGGGTAGTGGGGTCATCCGCATCCGTGGCGATGACTTTCATCACGAGTGTGTCTGGCGTGAGGGATAAAGGTGTTGAAGTAAGGGTGCTTACAAATCCTCTTGGTCTTTCCTTACAAGGATCTATGGTTCTTATCAGAATGAGACTATACCACTATCGGAAATTTAGCTGGATGGGGACAGAGAGATAGCTCAGGGCTGAAGGCATTTGTTGCCAAGCCTGACAAACTGAGACTGATCCTTGGGGTCACAAGATGGGAGGAGAGAACTGACCCTCACAGGCTGTTCTCTCACGCCAAGCATTTGTCACATGAACACACACAGAATACTAGGAAAGTTTTGAAAAATTGCTATTATGAGGGCCACACATTTTAATCTTATAGCCAAGACTACTTCTTATTATCCAAGATCCTGGATGCTTATTCAGATGTAAGCAAATTAGGATTAGTACAACTTCTTTTTATTACGACCAAAGAGAGTGCTCTCCTTCGGGTCTTAGGGAGAACATTGCATTGAACAATACCAGCAGCAGGTCTAATAGTGAAATAATACAAGTCAGAGGTCAACGACACCCCACGTAGCCCCAAGCCAGGAGGCTGCTTGTTTTTGCTCACAAAGCTTGACTAGAACACAACCCTGCTCATTTTACAGTGTCTATAGCTGACTTCCCCTACAGGGGCGGGTCTGAACAGTTGCTGTGAAGACCTTACCTGCTGCATCAATCTAATCTGTCATCTTTTTCAGAAAGGTCATGATTCTTAAGGTTCTTTAAATTTAAAATAACAAGAGGTCCAAACCTGGAGTTAGGGGTTTATTATCATCCTTCCTGTAATACTCAACTTTTACTAAAAGATAGGATTTTGTGTTTTTATATATGGGGGATATTTAACCTTGGTTTTACATTTCAACAACAACAAAAACCAAACAAACAAACAAAAAGAAAAGAAACATATCTGGGTTTCAGGTCTGGAGAAATGGCTTAGTGGTTAAGAGCACTGGCTTCTCTTGCAGAGAACTCAGGTTTGGTTCTTAGCACCCACATCAGGTGGTTTACCACTGCCTGTAACTCCAGTTCCAGAGGAACTGGCACCCTCTTCTGGCCTCCAGAGTCACCTGCCCACAGGTGATGCACATATAGTCAAGCCCTCACACGCAAACACACAGAATTAAAGGAAAAGGAGCAATGTTCTTACGGGCAGCACTCAATTCTTCAATAGACCCAACAAAGACATCCTGCTGGAACACTGGCTCATTGTCATTGATGTCGAGAACTTTGATGCGTAGCTCTAAGGGCTTCTCCAGGTTGTTCCCTCTGGAGTCCAGGGCGTAGCCTGTCAGCTGAATCGTGAGAGGAACAACAACAGATTTAAGCTAAACTTAATCTATTGCTATGGTATAAACATAAAAAATCATAAACACATTAAAAAAAGAAGATCTATAAATAAGAGTAAAATCGTTCCCTCTTACCAGAAAATACGGTGTTTCTTCCCGGTCAAGAATGCTGGTAACATTTAGGTTTCCTGTGTTTTTATCGAAGACAAATATACCAAAAGGTGGCTCTGTAATTCCCTTCCCAGTGTATTTGTAGGTGATTTTTATTCCTTTTTCTTCTGCAAGGTCAGAATGTATCTAATGCAAAAAGAACAGGGAATGTCTCAAGTTAAAACCTTTATAAGACATTTTAATGACAATGTCCTGTTGAAGATGCCACGGTATGGACAGGAGGCAGGTGGCCCAAGACATGTAGTGGTACCATGGAGCCATGGTCTAATCCCCTCTCAGCACACACGAGTGTGTGACACTGGCTAGTGGCCTCCCTGGGTTTCAGTTTCCTATCTGTGAAATGGAAACCGGGATAAAGCTCACGGTTTACGACTGTTGTGGAATTAAGATATAGTTGGAGCACATCTTGGAGGGCAGCAGGTTTTTTTCATCTTTCTTTGATGTACTATGATAGAAACCAGTGACTTACGCATGTCTAGCAGAGAGCTCTTACTGAGCTACACTTACCGGAAGTAGGTTTTATGAGATAGGATTTCATATAGCCCAGGCTGGCCTCCAGCTTGCTGTGTAGCTGTGTAGATGACCGTGAACTCCTGATCCTCCTGCATTTATCTCCCCAGAGATGGGGTTATAGGCACGTGCCACTAAGCCTGACTCAGGGGGAGTATATTTTAAATTTGGTACAGACAGGTAAAACACTGCAGAATGAAAATCACTTCCATAAATCCACCCATTTGCCTGGAAGGTATGAAGAGAGCATCTTCCCAGAAGGAGTAAATACAGCTAAGTACTTCCTCTGTTTGGAATAAACACGTTGGCAGATCAATACTGTTTCTAGTCTGCTGGTGCCCTCCAGCTGGCCTCTTTGTTCTCCACGAGCGGTCTTATTCCTGCCTATGTTTCCTTAGTTGTGCTTCCCTGTGCTCCTCCCCCAGGCTTCTCCGTGTCTGTAGTGTGTCGTCACACATCACTGAAGACATAGATCCCCACCGGCCCAACCAGCTCTCTGGACTGAAACCTTAGGATTAATGACACATTCTTCCTACGGTTTCCCAAATACCCTGGGTTGGGGCTGTGGGGAGAATTGCTTTTAGGTGGGGAGTTTGGAAAGTATGGAGAATTTCCTGAGATATTTTGCCTTCCGTGTACAGTGTTTTAAAAGATGAATTTTATTTTTAATTACGCATACGGATGTAGCGAGATGGGGGTGGGGGAGTTTGTGGATGTGAATGCAGAGGCCTGCAGAGGTCAGAGGGCAGCAGCACATCTCCTGGTGCTGTAGTTACGGTGGCCGGGTGGTTGTGAGCCACAGGAGATGCTGGGAACTGAACTCAAGCCCTCGGCCAGAGCAGCGAGTGATCTTCCTACTGAGCCATCTCTCCAGCTCCTTGCTTTTTGTGAAAATTTTACTTAAAACAACTGGGTAATTAAAATAAATAAAGACAGAAAACAATTGTTAGACTCATAAGAGTCAGTTTTACAAAAACCTATTTATAGACAGTATGAAGGTCTCAGATACAAAAAACAGCAACAAAACCAAAAGCAAGCAAAGTCCCACCCTCAGCTGCTTGCTGTACACATGAGGCTTTGTGAAGCCACAGAGGAAGTCTCTACTTGAGAAGGTTTTTATAAAACAATTCGGTGGGGCTGGAGAGATGGCTCAGTGGTAGAGAACACTGGCTTTTGCTTTTCTCGTAGAGGACCCAGGTTGGGGTCCCAGCACCCACATGGTGGCTCACAACTGTCTGTAACTCCAGTTTCAGGGGATCCAACACCCTCTCCTAGCTTCTGTGGGCACGGCACCCACACATTCATGTGGGAAAACACACATAAAATAAAAATCAAAAACAATGGTCATGTTTAAAAAACAAATAAAAGTAAATACAACATGGTACTGGAAAAAGGAAACTGTTGTCTTTGGTTCTATAACTGTATTTCTCTTATAGAAACCCTTTACAGATAAGATCGGAAAGTTGAAGATCAAACTCGGATGCAGGCGAGCATGCATTTATGTTGCTGCTATTGAGCACCCACTTTGTAAGCAGGGCACAGACTATGTCCTTGGGAGCTTCGGTGCTAATGAGGGGGGTAGGTAACTAACAAGCAGAGCCTGGCCAATGTCTAGCACAAATATGCTGAGAGCCAAACTCATACAGGTAAGAGCACAGGCAGAAAAGAGAGGGAGGTGGAGAGGAGGCGACACTTGATCAGGGATATGATGATGTTATGTATTAAAAATCCCCTGGGGAACCGACTCCGGGAAGGCAGAACAGCAAGGACCCAGGGTAGAGGCTGGAGCAAACAGTGGCCAGTTCAGTACATGAGTCCAACAGACTGGGTAGGGGGCATTTTCCTCTCTGCCCTTCCCTTAGCTGATTTCAGGCCCTCAGTAATGGGTGGGCATGCTTTGGTTTGTCTTCAGAAGTTTGCTCTTGCTAATTCCAGAGAACAGATGTTATGTGGGTGAAGATTTGGCAAGAGCGAAATCAGGAAGACCAGGTGTGAGGTGGAGGGGACAGGGACCCTGGCAGTGGGGCTGAGGAGAAGGTGGAGGGGACAGGGACCCTGGCAATGGGGCTGAGAAATGGATGGTTTGTGCTGTGTTTTGAGGGTAAAATTGACAGTAATGGCTAGATTTTTAACTTGAGACCTAGGTAGGGGCCTCTAACTTTCCATCGTGAGTAGGAGTGGGGTCTATGAGTGCCACCCTTCCTGAGGAGGCAGGACTGTTCACGGTTGCTGGAGGAGATGTGTCATTTCTAATGGTATAGTCACTCTGGACAATGTAGGAAGACAGAGAAAGAAGGGGAGCAGAGGGCAGCAGGCTGTGAAGTGACAGACTGCGGGTATGTGGAAAACTATGAAAGCATAAAGGAGGTTCAGCAAGATGGCTTGCTGGGTAAAGGTGCTTGCTGTCAAGCCTGATGACTTGCCTTCAGTGCCCGGAACACACATGGCAGAGGGAGAGAACAGATTCTTAGAAGTTGTCCTCGGACCTTACATGATGGTGGAGCTTCCCCACTAATCCAATGTGAAAATAATAAATAAATACAGTTAAAAGAAAACAAAACGAAAACCAAGGCAGAATTACAGTGTTATTCACAGAGATGGGAAGAATATAAGAACAGCTTAAGGAGCCTCAGGAGGGGTTGTGTATCCAGGTTTGTACGGCTAACTCAACTTTGGTATTTAGTACACCACACTAGAACTGCCATAAACTTTGTTTGAAAACTTTTGAGTGAGAGTGGTCAATCACGGATTGCAGAAGACAGGCAGACACGGCTGTCCCAAGCCAAGAAGGACACATGTCAGTCACTCTTCCTCTCAGACCTCAGTTCCTGCAGCTGCTGCTTGTAATGATATTATCCTTCTATGAATATTGTGAGGTTGTGTATTAGACTAAGGGTGACCCAATGCCAGATTCCACAAGTTGTGGCTGAATCAAATCCTAAAATCATGTATTTAAGTGTTATTGATACTGCACTGTCTGCATTTTCTGTTAAAAGGCAAGTTCTGGGGGCATTTTAAAACACATCTGGTAAGTACAGTACCTAATTTCCTTAAGTCGGAGAGTGGACAGAGTGATTTCCATTCACCACAGTCTTATTAACCACACACACACTCACATGCACATATATACACTAATACACACACACTCACACACACACTCACATGCACATATATACACTGATACACTCACACGCACACTTGCACGTCCAGACACTTACACGCACATATACTCGCACATGCAGACACACACACTCTTGCACATGCAGACACACACGTACACACTTGCACATGCAGACACTCACACACACTCACACTTGCACATGCAGACACTCGCACATGTAGATACTTACACACCCACTCACATGCACACACACTTGCACATGCAGGCACTCACACACACACTTGCACATGTAGACACTCACACACACTCATTCTTCCACATGTAGACACACACACCTGCACATGCACAGATACACACACTTGCACATGCACAGACACTCACACATGCACACACCTCCCACACCCATATTCGTCTGTGGCTGGTACCTTGGCAATTGGGTTCTTTCTGGAAAGGTCCTCTCCCTCCCGGAGAGCCACAGGAGCTGTGATCCACGCCCGCTTCTGCCGCACCAAGTGACTGTGCTTAGGGACCAGTTTGTCTTCTTTACTGGTGCTGAAAACCTGTTAACAAGGTTACCCTTCAATTATTACATCCCCAAAGCTGTAGTGAGACATTCTGCCTTAAAATTAAATATAGTGCACATTTTAAAGTTTTAGTTAAAATAAACCTATTTGATTAAAAAACAAAATAGTGCAAAACTTGAGATATGTTTTGCATTTTTCAACAAGTTGCACTTACGTAGAGGAAATGTATACATTCTAACAAACTCTACAGGCGCATGAGAGAGGACTTCCAAGGTGTTAAAGTGTCAGGGTTCGCTTTCCATAGTAAGAAGACGTTCCCAATGCAATGTTCACAGAAGCCAACAACTAAGCTAGTCCCTAACAGATTAGAAAGAATACTATGTCAAGGGCTTTCTTTCCGACTGACAACTAAGTTTAACTTTCTGTGATGACTTTTGGGTTGAAAACACATGACTCTGTGTTTTAGGACTTTCTCCTCAGACATGGGCTGATACAAATTTGACCCCAGCAGGCACGGTTGTGCATGTGTAATCCTAGCATCTTAGAAGTACAGGCAGGATTCTAAGTTTGAGCCTAGCCTAGGCTATGGGCCTAGTCTAGCTCTACCAATTAGTAAATAATTAAGTTTGCCCTCTTCTTATTTTTAAAACTTGACATAGGAAAATTATTTAGAGTATTTTCAATTGGGTTTTATAGGGAGATTGCATATATATATTTTAAACATTTATTTAGGTGTGTGTGTGTGTGTGTGTGTGTGTGTGTGTGTGTGTGTGCCGGGGGTGTGCATGTGTGCCACATGGAGGTCTGGGGACCACTTGAGTAGTCATTCCTCTCCTTCCTCCATGTTCTTGAGGACCAAACTCAGGTCCTAAGGCTTGACCGCAGATGACTTTACCTGTTGGGCCATCTTGTTGGCCTGTAAATATTTTTTATCCAAGGAAAATTTCATTGCAGTTGACTTAGTGTCTTAAGATCAGAGCAATTCCGCACCAGGTTCTTCTCACCTTCCACCCACTTTGGTACTCTAAATAACCATGTGTTTTATTACGCAATATTTACACTGCCACTCATTTTCCTTTGTTTCTATTTGAAACTTTTTCTTAGTAAAATGTGAATTACAGCTTGAAATATTTTTCAATAAAAACCTTCATGCAATATATTTTGATCATGTTTTCCTCTCCTTTCTCTCCTCCCAGGTCCTCCCAACCCAACTTCATGCTCTCTCTCTAAGAGTAGGTGAGGACATTAAAGTTTACAATGTAAAACTGTAGAAATCCTATTCTTTAATCATTCCATGTTAATGTCTCAAGGAAAACCTGCCATGATCTCCCTGGACACACAGTTCACAGCCATGGGTAAAGGACTTTCATCTCACTCTGTAGACCAGGTTGGCCTCCAGTTGATGGAAGACCCATCTTCCTCTGCCTCATGAGTACTAGGACCATAAACGTGTGCTCCTCTATGCCTGGCAAGGTCTTTTTTTTTTTTTTTTTTTAAATAAAATGCCAGGCTGAATATTCTTTTTTTTAAATATTTATTTATTTAATATGTATACAATATTCTGTCTGTGTGTATGCCTGCAGTCCAGAAGAGGGCACCAGACCCCATTACAGATGGCTGTGAGCCACCATGTGGTTGCTGGGAATTGAACTCAGGACCTTTGGAAGAGCAGGCAATGCTCTTAACCTCTGAGCCATCTCTCCAGCCCCCCCCCCCCCGAATATTCTTTGATGTGGTTTCCTCTGTGTTTGTTTGAGTGAGATGGTCCAGGTCAAAGGAGTGTAAATCTCCAATCTAGTAAGGCATAGTCAACTTGTTCACCAGAAAAACCAAGGCACTGGGTCCCCAAAATGGAATTAATCTCCCTTAGTTCCTCACCTCGAAGTGGAGTCCATTTCCAAAATCCAAGCAGACCTGTAAAATAAAATTACAGACATGAAAAATACGAGTAACTGTCATTATCATCATTTGGGAAAAGAAACAAATTATAATGTTCTCTCCTACAAAAAAATCAGACTCAGAAGGCAGAATCTACTTTTTCCTTGGTCCGCAGAGTCTCCTTCAGAGAAGACACACACACACACGTCTATATAGTATATATACCATATAGACATATATTATACATATACATATAAATACATATGTATTTATATGTGCACGTATATGCATATATGGGAAAGTATACATGTGCCACTGAGATCAGAGAATAATATAAGAGGCTCCGTCTTCCCACCATGTAGATTCTGGGGGTTGATTTCAGGTCCTCAGGCTTGGCAGCAAGTGCCTTTACCTGTTGAGCCATCTTGCTGGCCCTGAGAACAACTAGCTTCCCTCTCCTCTCCTCTCCTCTCCTCTCCTCTCCTCTCCTCTCCTCTCCTCTCCTCTCCTCTCCTCTCCCCTCCCCTCCCCCCCCCCCCCCCCCCCCCCCCCCCCCCCCCCCCCCCCCCCCCCCCCCCCTCTCTCTCTCTCTCTCTCTCTCTCTCTCTCTCTCTCTCTCTCTCTCTCTCTCTCTCTCTCTCTCTCTCTCTCTCTCTCTCTCTCTCTCTCTCTCTCTCTCTCTCCCTCCCTCCCTCCCTCCCTCTCTCTCTCTCTCTTTCTTTCTTTCTTTGAACAAAATAGGTCCGGGAATGTGACTCAAGGGTAAAGGCGTGCGCTGTGCCAGCCTGACTGCCCAGCTCTGCAGTGGCACATATCTGTAACGCCAGCTACAACTCCTACAGAGGCAGGAGGATCATCCAGAAGCTGGGTGCTGGTCTGTCACGGTAGAAACAGTAAGAGAAACCGCCTCAGTGAGGGGAGAATCAACTCTCAAAAGTTGTCTTCTTATACTCACATGCATAAATAAATAAACAAAAATTAAAAACAAAAACATTTATTTCATGAAGCCTTAGACCATCTCGACTATTTTCTCCTCACCCCGCGCTTTTATCTCATGCTTTCTGGGGCATGCTTACTTTTCTTCAGGACTGTGGGTCAGCGATGAGTCTCCCAGGGATCCCCAACATCCCCATGGCTGCACACGCATGTACACCCCTCCCTGCCCTGCAATCTGACCTCTAGATCATCTTCAGCCCCCCTTACTCGGTCCTTTGCAGGCACCATTACAATCTGGATGTCACCACAACACAGAACAGGGTATAGTACGGCCAGTCTTTGTCTCAGCCTGCTCCCTTGCTTTCTTCCTACTTCTGATTTTGGCGCAATTTCTTTGCAGCCCATCAGTCTTCTGTTGGCCTCGTTTTCCTCCTGAGCTTCATCCAATGAGCACTGCCTCTCACATTTATACGAAAACAAAAACATTTGGCGTCAGAAATTTAGTTGCTCAGTGGTCACAACAGCCCCAGTAGCTACTGTTAGCACAGTACAGAATGAGGTCATTTTAATCACTGGAGAGCAGCCAGCTGTCCTTACACTGTCACCAATGGCAGCCAGGGAGACTTGTTTCCTTTACCCTCTGCTATTAGTGCCTCACATTCTCTCCAACTCTGGTAAGCCATCACTGCTCTAGCTTCTCTCTGCTCTGGCCATACTGCTAGATGAGCTTATGGTGTATAGACCTTTAATGGCCCATCCTTTGTTTCTCCGTGGAAGTGGGGACTCTTTCTATGAGACCTCACTTTCATTTGCTCGGAGTGGCTCAGCTGCTGGACACCTGCTGCTAGGAAGTCCCTCTATTAGCACTGCTCCCATCTGCAAAAGCGCTCCAGTTAGACTGCAAATTACAGCCGCCGCTGTGCTCTCGTCCCCGCTTGCTGTATCCCCACCACTGGCATCTCAAACTTCAAAACCAGGGAGTCATACTGACTTCCGGATGGACACATTGTTCAGTGAGGCTACGTGCAGTCTGAGAGCACACTTTCAGTCACCCCCTCCTTGTCCCCAGGCTGAGAGACGACCCGAGGACTTGCCATATTTAGCCACCAACTGTGTACTTTCCTTTCAGCTCTTGCTCACAATCGCCATCTCAGGAATCGTGGCCATTTGGCTAAGCGTCCACCATTTTGAGGCTAATTAAATGTGTTCGTTCTGTCTGCACTGGCTAACCAACCTACCTGGGACTTTCTTATCCCAGAAGACCCACCTTTGCTTCGCTAACACTGAATTCTTCGGCTTGAACCCTTCTACGTCTGAACTAGGAACAGCTTGCCTCCATTGCCTTCACTTCTCCACTGTGTGTATGAAGTAACTGTAATGTGTCTTCAGCTTGGATTTCTGCAGCCATGCTTGCCTTTCCCCATGTGTCTTAGGAAACACAGATCCACGGAGCCCACGAAAAGTGGGAATCAAGGCTTTCTCTGAAAATGTGTGCTCTCAGACAGCCTTCATACTCATGTGGTTTCCTGTGGAGCCTGCGCTTTGTGTTGACACTTAAACCTCTCTTTCCTGGCCTCATCTAAAAGGCTCTAAGGCGAGCGTCCGGGCAGAGAGGCGCTATGGTGGTTTGAATGAGATGTCTGCCAAAGTCTCCAGCATTTGAACAAAGGGTCCCTTGGCTGGTGGCTGGTGGTCAGGATTAGGAGGTGTGGCCTTGGTGGAAGTGTATTGCTGTAGGGCAGGGTTTGGGGTTTCAAAAGACACATGCCATTTTGAGTTAGCTCTCTGAGGTTTGAGATAAAAGCTATGAGTTGTTGCTCTAGTCACCTGCCTCCTGCCTCCACTCTGCCATCTAGCCCCAAGGGAATTTCCTTCCGTAAGATGCCTTGGTCATGATGTCTTTGCATACAGAAAGTTAACTAATACAGCAGCCTTAGTCAAATACCCACCTTTTATGTTATAGCCAGATATAAATTACTTTATCTAGTGAGCAGTGGCTAGAAATGTCTAACTGAGATGTGCTCCCCAAACTTTTATATTTTCAATGACATGGTGGCTGTGTTGAGATATGTTATGACTTCGTATGCCATTAAAAATAGAAAACTTTCTTTCTTTCTTTCTTTCTTTCTTTCTTTCTTTCTTTCTTTCTTTCTAATTTTAGTGTGTGTGTGGGGGCATGTATGCACGCCCATGTGTGTTGGGGGGGGGGTGCCTGGAGGCCAGAAGAAAATGTCAGAGTCCCTTGGAGTTGGAGTTACCGGTGGTGCTGGAAACGGAACTCAGGTTCTCTGCAGGAGCAGCAAGGACTCTTAACCTGTTGAGTCATGTCTTCAGTTTCCCATCTCATTCTTGTCTAAAATCTTACTGGCCCTAGCAAAAAAGTACACTCATGTGTTACTTTAGTTAGTATTATTGTTACCAAATAGCATATATTTTCCTCGATAAAAGGAAGTGATTTATTACTGTCTACTAAAAAGTAAACCGATCATGTGAGAATTTTCAGTGATTTATTGAGACCAGTTTCCTAGGTGTTTGCTTAGAAACACAGATCAGATGGTAACAAAGACATTCCTCAAGTATGGGAACAGGCATCTCATGGGAGAGCAGTCATGACTCATTTCTTTTCTCCTAGAAAACTTGATGACAGATAAATGTCACGTGCAACGCCTGGATGAGAAAAGTAAGCTTCTGTGTACTTAGCTCACACAATGTTTTTAGATGAACCAGAAAAATCCTTCAAAAGCACCCTCACGCCACAAAACCTTAAATGTGTGTACTGTTAGATCCGGTGCCTCACGTAAAACTTGGCCTTCCTGATAACAGGCAATAACTGAAACCAACCAGTTAAAACAAAACTTTAGTAGTAAGAAGGCCAAATAGCACTGTAAAATGTGCAGCAGCTTTAGAAAGGGCTTCCTGCTCTGAGGCTTCTCTGACAAACGCCAGCAGTGCATTCTGGAGGACTGGGTGTCGCTGGCTGACAGCTCTGTCTGGCTGACAAGCCCTGTGAAATCTTCCTTGAACTTCCTTCTGTGGACCTGTGGTTCCACGGTGGGGTGACCCTCAAGCTTCAACATCTCAAACTAGTATCTTCTACTGAATATAGAGGTGCAGGAAGTAATTTCAAATTCTGTCTCAACTTGAAGGCACAGCGGTGATATTTCCATGCTAGCAGGGCTGTCTGAGAGGGCGAACAGTGCTCAGGGTTGGCTTAGCAGGGCTGGTTGTTCTTTAAATTCAGACCCTCTCTGCGTTGGTTAATGTTGTCAACTTGACAAGATCTATCACCACTTCAGAGACAAATCTCTGGGGACGTCTATGAGTTTCTGGTGATCAGGGATAATCTACCCTCATTTGAATGGCAGCATTTCATATGGTGGGGTCCCAGACTGAATAACAGGAGAATGGAAGTGAGAGCCAGTGTTCATCTCTCTGCCTGCAAATGCAATGAGGCCACCAGCGGCTTCAGGCTCCCGCCCAACAGGACTTCCCCCACTGTGATGGGCTGTAACTCTCAACCGGTGAGTCAGAGGAAACCCGAAGTTACAGTGTGTGTGTGTGTGTGTGTGTGTGTGTGTGTGTGTGTGTGTGTCAGCAACGACAAGAGAAACTCCTATTAACTTTCAAGACCATTCTAGAACACTTTCACCCACCTGTCTAACCATGAAGAATATTCCAAAATTCTTTGTTTCCCCCTTGAGCTATATAGAAGGCATTAAACTAAGGATGCTTGGTTCTGCTCAAGTCCATTCATAAAATGAGTTCAACTTTGGATGAAACAAGTAAAGAAGATGAGATAAACCGAGGGTACCGAAGGCCACTTGTTTATTACTTCATGTCTGTATCAGCAGAGCTGGAGATCTGGCCCTGGGTAGCTTCGAAGGTTTTGACAGGGCTTCTGCAGCCATAGGACCTTACGAGGCTGACAGAGGTCGGGACTTGGTGCTGTCAAGAGTGACATGATTCAGTGGCACTTCTCTGATAAATCTGATGTGGACCAGATTTATTCTGAAATTTAAAAGGCCATCCTTTCTTCTTATTTTTTTTATGAAGTGGGGTTAGTTTTTGTAGTTCTCACCTCAGAGGTAAATGTTACAAAC